AAATGTGTATGTGACTCAGTCTCAGGCTAAGAAATCATGACAGATAAAAACAATGAAGTCTCATTCCATATAGTTAGAGACAGTCCTTCATGTTGTCTCCACGTTGAACTGTTGTTGCCATCTGAGTGAACTCTAAAGGGTCTGGAACCACCAAAGCCAGCTTCTGTATGGAGTAGATCAGTGGTAGAACATGAGCCTAGCTTTCATGAGGGCCTAGTATCCATCCCTCAGTTAAAATAACTCCCTTATGATACTAATAACTTCTTTAGTATGCTCTGTTCCTTCATCCCTTATAATGGCTATCCCAGCCCCATGAGGAACTATAGTGATACCCAACACCGTAGAGGAAGAAGAGATGCAAGGCTTGGCAAAGAGCACTAAGAGTAAACGCAGAGAATAATGGTGTATCACCATCATGAGACTCCTCCATGTTGACTAAAATGCAAAGATCCAATCTGATTTTTTTTTGTTTCAAAATTGAGCTCCTCACTTACCCTCAAGAAACTTAATCTGAGGACCTTTCTCCATCCTTGAGTGAAAATTTAATTTCTTAGAAAATTAAAAAAAAAGCCAGGTCCTCCTTGTTCTTCCTATCTATGCATTATAGGAAGCATGGAGACCTTTCAGTTGTCTTGGAACCCTCTCTTCTTGTATGTGGAAAGTGGAGTGTGGAGACTGTGTTTGGGATGAGATACTTTCTATTGAATAGTTGGAGATGTAGGTCACAAGTCCACAGGTTGGACAATAGAAAAGCTCTTGTATGGCAGAGATGAAGTGGGGGTAGATGGCTTGTTGGAACATTGTAAATTCTTTGAAACCACGGGGTTCTTGAAGTAAGACATCCTTTGACAAAGAGAGCTATTTCTGCCCAGGAGAGGGGAGGTTAATGTTTTCATAATGATGGGTTTCGCCCTCACGACGCAGATGAAGTCTTCAGTGATTGTTTTCCCTCTCCCTGGGCTTGCCTAGCTTTCTAAAAGTCAAATGGTGGGAGGGAGCAGGTGGGAGTCACGACTGCACAGTACTCTAAGCCAGAGCTGTGGGCCACGACTCTGGTATGCCCTATCTACCATAAGGCTCTACAGAGTGGATAGCCTACTGCAGAGTCCTTACCTTCATCTCCAAAGACAATGACACACTGGCATGATGAGGCGTCTAGTGCAAACACTGGAGTGTTACATCCTGCTGGTTGGAAATTTCCCACAATATGCCCTACACTCAAACCCAGATTCTATTTTTGATTCAGAAATTCCACTCCTAAGAAGATGCATGACAGTACTGAGTACACGTGCTTACCAAATATGTGTGTGACAAAGTTTGTGGCAACCACAGGCAGACTGACCCTGAACTAGAAAGAAAGCATAGAAACCAACTGCTGAACAGAGGAAATGTAGCAAAATCATAGAATGCTCAGCCATCATGAATATCCAGCATGGTTACAGTGAGGGGTGAATCTCCAGACGTGGTACAGAATAAAACAGGATACACTGTGTATAATCTACAGCATTCATCTAAAATTTAAGGGGAGGCAAAGCTGTGGGACAGTAAAGTGTGGGATAGCAAGCATCTCTGGGGGAAGGAGTCAGGAAAAGATGGTCAAAAAAGATGGTGGATGAGAGAGAAGATGTACATCTCTAGGGCATGCACATATACATATAGAAGAAAATGAATTTCACCAGGTAGCCTGTTCTTTACATCTGCTTACTCTTCACCATGTATCTTCAGCATCTAATATGCCAAGTTTTGTCTACCAGGATAAGGATAGGGCTGTAGACTGGGCATCTGGACCTCTTGACTTCAGCTTATTTGTATTCTAGCTGGGAGGACAGGACTAAAACAAGTGGGCAGACACTGAGAAGAACAGGTGACAGGAGGCAGAGAACTTCCAGGCGATGAAGTTGACTTCTTGTCAAACATGGAGATCTTTCTGGGGAAGAGAGCCTACCCTTGAGGAATGAGAACCAGCCAGCCCGGGAACAGCCTCGAAAAGAGTTCTCTGGAAACCCAAAAGTAGGAACAGTACAGAACATGTGACATCAGAAACCGGAGAAGAAGGGCAAGAAACAGAGATCAAAGAGACATCAGGAGCTCCACCTGTAGAGCCAGGTTGATCAATAGAAGAAGCCTGATTTCAAGACCACCTAAAATCTGGCCTGGTGTTTTCAATCTCTCTTGACCTCTGTGACTCACTCCAGCTATGTCATATCTTTTACAGGCTACAATTTTGCATCCTGAAATTGTTAGGACAGACTTCCTTCATCAGAGAATACTGAATCTACTTGTTAAAATTACTAGTTGACAAAGGACAAAACTACCTATGCTCCCCTAGAAGGCCTTCCTTGAGCTCCTGAAATAGGAGCAAAGAGTTTTAGAAGCCAGGTACATGGTGTGTGAGGTTCATAGCAGAGGCTTGAACACGGTTTTGATGACCAACTCCTCAGGGTTCAGGCTTATTACTCATCATGTTTTCCAGGAATCCAGAAATTGGGCGGTAAGTTCTAGAGAGTTCTACCAATGACATCTTCTGGGTTTTGCATGGTGGGTAGGGATAAATCTTCTACTATTCTGTACCAGAACTTCTTGGTTAAGAAAGATGTGTCTGTCAGTCATTTGACGGACATGATATGCAATCAGAGGCTGTGTCTGTCAGTCATTTGACGGACATGATATGCAATCAGAGGCTACATGGTTTGGGTTTTGGATTATCCTTGAATCTGTGATTAGAGCTGCATCTCTTGTCTCTTGCTCTATGTCAAGTTGAACCCTAGATCGCAACTGCTGAGAACAGCTTGGAGGCAGCAAGGATGAACAGTGGAACATAGTGGACCAACCAACTCACTTTCATTGCCTCATTCTACTCTGGGCTGAGCGATTTCAGTATGACCTTTAGCCCTTCTTAAATTCCACAAACCCCTGGGTTGTACAAACACTGGTTTGAAAATCATAGGCTTTAATGGATTTGAAGGATGACAGCGAAGGTATTATGTCACAATTATCCACACTTATAATGAGCAGTAGGATATCACTGTTTAGGCCTGATTGGCCAGGAGCTATGTAGACCAACCAGGCTGGCCTTGAACTTGTACTGATCTTTTTACCTCTCATCCCTGAGTATTGGGATTGCAGAGTACCTGGCCCTCTTTCTTAGAAATCCTAGGTATCTCATATTATTCCATTTTTTTCCTCTGGTTACTTCTCACACACCATGTACCTGACTTCTAAAACTCTTTGCTCCATTTCAGGAGCTCAAGGAAGGCCTTCTAGGGGTACATAGGTATTTTTGCCTTTTGTCAAGTAGTAATTTTAACAAGTAGATTCAGTATTCTCTGATGAAGGAAGTCTGTCCTAACAATTTCAGGATGCAAAATTGTAAGAACAGAACCAGCAACCAGTTTCTGTCTTAGACAGAACATACAGACATGCAGCTGGAGGCCTATTTTATCTTACACCTCCTAGAGTCAGGAAAGGAAGGCATCAGGAAAAGGTCACTTTTACCTTCAGTTTAGGGAGAAATCACTAGCATTCCAGATTATGCATAAAAGAAAGTGAAGGAGAAATTCAGCCCATTCCCAGTTCTCTGAGCTGGAATCAAGTGGCAAGGAGCTGGGAGGCAAACACAGTGGGCTTGCATACATGGCCTGAATGAGTGAGCATCTAACACTGCAGTTGGAATACAGTTTTAAAGCAGAGAAAATAAAGCTCTTCATGACAGGGGTGTGTGTGATACTCTTTGCTCAAGTTTCATCTGAAAGAAGTGAAACTCAGGGTCCAGAAACTCTGAGATTTGGCTAGCAAAAAGAAAATAAAACAAAAACATTTATTTTCCCTGACTTCAAGGAACTTCCGTGGTCCTGAGGCTGAGGGCCAGCTGTGGAGGCAGGAGGCAGCCTCACCTGGACAGGATGTGAATGCAGCTGCAGAGAAGATAAGAACAGAGGAATTCCTGTAGGGTCTGGCTGGGCTGTTTTGCAAGTACCTGTGGCCCAGAAGAAGACGTATGGCCTCGGGATGCTATTTACTGTGCATCACTGTAACGGTAACAGTGTCATAAACAAAGAAAGGAGGAAAGGAAGGAAGAAAGGAAGGAGTGAGGAGGGAAGGAACGAGAGACGAGGGTGGGAAGGAAGAAAGGAAAGAAGGAAGGAAGAACAAAGGGAGGAAGGGAAGGAGGGTGGGAAAAGATTGATTTTTAACTCTGATTTCAAAGGTTTCAGGTCATGATAGGCCATGGCTGGTGCCACCTTCAAGTTCTCAATGGTCTGCAATAGACGTCTAGTGTGTAGTACCAGCAGAGGCATTGTCTAAAGAAAGCGGCCTTATCCAAGCTCAAACCGTCTCCTTTAGTAGTGAATTATGAGATAGATTTGAGGTATTGGGTCCCAACCTTTGTCCTCTTGACTCTGAAACTGGGAAGAACCATGTGCCTCAGTATCCCCCATAAGCTCAGATCCGATGCAACAAGTAATTCAGTCCAGCTATCTTGATTTTCCCCCAAATGGCCACCCAGAGGGAGGGACGGAGAGCAGCAGAAAGTGCATCTCAGCATAACACAAAACTTGAAGCCAACTCTTAAGTGTGGCAGTTCCTCTGAACTGGCTAGTTACAAAAACATGTCTGCCAGCCAGACTTTTTCATCCCATCTTCTGGCCAAATAGCTTTCCTCGCTGAGAGATACCTCCTCCCTGCTCTTCGTTCCTGTTTTCCCATCCCCTGGCTCTTCACATTCCCCTTTTTGTTTCTTTGAATGTCCAGCTCCATATCACTGACAAGTTAACTTCTCACACCCAAATGGCTCACACCAAACAGTCTGATGCCTTTGCTTTCCAAAATGGTGCTTCCTGGGGCGTGTGTACCACAATTTTTATACAAGACCACCTACCAAGGCAACTGTTGCTGCTTAAGTAACTCGAAATTCTCATTAGCTTGGAGTGAGTGCACCTTATCTTCCCACAGATGGTCTTAGCCCTAGTGTTTTCTGTGACCAAAGTTTGAATCAAAACTCTGCCCCTTAAGATGATGTAGATGTAGCTACTGTGTCACATGTGTGTCCATAGGTAGCAGAGAGGAGAGGGGCAATGTCTATACTCATCATTCTGCCCTACATACATCTGAATGATTGCTAGCCTAATATTCACTGAAAAGAGTGAGCCTGAGACTGCCACTAGTCTGAATCCAGGGGGCCTGGACAGAGAGCTAGCCTGAGATGACCATCATTCCAGTGGCTCCCAGGCGCCACAGGCTCCCAGGATATGATGCAAGTTGGATACTGGAAGAACCCTGCTTGGGACCAAGGACCACAGACAGAAGTGAGCCCAAGACAGATGGGCCACTCAGGTGGGCCTGGAGAGGAGTGAGCCTGGAATGACCACCAGACTGGCTCCATGGGTCCCAGACAGAGGGCTAGCCTGAGGTGAACATGAGTCTGGCACCCCCAACTTGGTCAGGGGAGTTGACCATGCTTGAGATGATCCCTGCCCGGTGCTATAATCCACAAGTGAGGTATAGCACTCTGAAATCATGCCTAAAATTACTCCAGACACTGAATAGACCTAGGAACCGCTAAGAGGAGCAAGTAAAGAGGTGATGAAATGGGAGAGAAATACCACGAGGGCACAATGAAGAGAAGAAGAACTGGAGACTTGAGGGTCGTGAGGAGCAGTCTGATGTGAGCAGCTAGTGATGCCACCTGGGACCATGGTGGGGTCCTGGTCTGTGCTGACACTGGGTCATATCTGGGTCCATGGCCCTGCAGCAGCAGGGGTCTGTTACTATCAAAGGCCAGGCAGACATCCCTGGTCTGGCTGCCACTGAGGACATGTTGATGTCTGAGGATTGTGGAGAACTGGCCTCACCCCTCATCTGGGCATTCTGGAAGACCTGACCTTAGAGGCATGAGAACAGGAGAGCTGGTCCTGCCATTTACCAGCCATGGCACTCAGGAGAGCAGGCCCTGCACCTCACTTGGGTGGCAGGGCAGAGCTGACTCTGGTAGTGTGGTTGCCGGTGAGCCCATTGGGAAGGCATGAGAGCATGATAGCCTGTGGGCTGATCATCTCAGATACCTCTCAGGCCCAGATCCAGGGCTTTCAATTGGCCCACCCCAATATTTACCCCATCAATGAACTGCTGGAGTGCATGAAGGGTCTGGTTCTACAGATCCAAACCTACAGGATCTCCATGATGCAGGGCAACAACACGATAACCAAGAGGAGAATGTCCACATGAAAGGGGACTAGGTCATGGTTTTCTAAATTCTGTGTACTGGTGTCTCCTTTCATGTAAATTATGTGGCACCACGTATATAGGTATATGAAATAGCTACACAAATTAAACATTAATGATGATAAATTACAAAGAAATTTATTTTAAAACAAGCCTGTGGTTCTTAGATATTACCATTTAATTAAGGTAAAAGAACATTTTATGTTATTGAGATAGATGTGTCCATTTTTGTAAGAACTAGATCTCAGCTGAATATTTGATACTGCAGAGCATAAAATATCTTCAGTATTTTCAGAGTGCAGTGATATTTTGACTTTCTAAATCATCAGCGCTGACATCACAGCTTCTCATAAATATAAAACACAAAGTGAAAGAAGAAAATTTATCTCAAACCTTGTTGGAAGACCTGTGCTAATGCTAACCAAAATTCATTTAAGGAAATTCTATGAAACCCAAGCCAACAACTCAAATGGCAGTTTTTCAAACTAAACATTCCAACACAATACAATTTAAAACAGTCTAATGTGATGCCTAGGTGCTAAGAAATGATGGTTTGAAAGCATTTATAGGGCCTCATTGCGTTACTTACCTCGACTCTTAGTTGTCGGGAACGGTAACCGGGACCCGGTGTCTGCTTCTATCACCCTTGCCTTCTAACCCGTAGCAATCATGCGTGAGTGCATCTCCATCCACGTTGGCCAGGCTGGTGTCCAGATCGGCAATGCCTGCTGGGAGCTCTACTGCCTGGAACATGGCATCCAGCCCAATGGCCAGATGCCAAGTGACAAGACCATTGGGGGAGGAGATGACTCCTTCAACACTTTCTTCAGTGAGACAGGGGCTGGCAAGCACGTGCCCCGGGCAGTGTTTGTAGACCTGGAACCCACAGTTATCGATGAAGTTTGCACTGGCACCTACCGCCAGCTCTTCCACCCTGAGCAGCTCATCACAGGCAAGGAGGATGCTGCCAATAACTATGTCCAAGGCCACTACACCATTGGCAAGGAGATCATTGACCTTGTCTTGGACAGGATTCGCAAGCTGGCTGACCAGTGCGCGGGTCTCCAGGGCTTCTTGGTTTTCCACAGCTTTGGTGGGGGCACTGGCTCTGGGTTCACCTCCCTGCTGATGGAGCGGCTCTCTGTTGATTACGGAAAGAAGTCCAACCTGGAGTTCTCCATCTACCCAGCCCCCCAGGTTTCCACTGCTGTGGTTGAGCCCTACAATTCCATCCTCACCACCCACGCCACCCTGGAGCACTCTGATTGTGCCTTCATGGTAGACAATGAGGCCATCTATGACATCTGTCGTAGAAACCTCGACATTGAGCGCCCAACCTACACTAACTTTAACTGCCTTATTAGTCAGATTGTATCTTCCATCACTGCTTCCCTCAGATTTGATGGGGCCCTGAATGTTGATCTGACAGAATTCCAGACCAACCTGGTACTCTACCCTCGCATCCACTTCCCTCTGGCCACCTATGCCCCTGTCATCTCTGCTGAGAAAGCCTACCATGAGCAGCTCTCTGTAGCAGAGATCACCAATGCCTGCTTTGAGCCAGCCAACCAGATGGGGAAATGTGACCCTCGCCATGGTAAATATATGGTTTGTTGCTTGCTGTAGCGAGGTGATGTGGTCCCCAAAGATGTCAATGCTGCCATTGCCACGATCAAGACCAAGCGCAGCATCCAGTTTGTAGACTGGTGTCCCACTGGCTTCAAGGTTGGCATTAATTACCAGCCTCCCACTGTGGTACCCGGTGGTGACCTGGCCAAGGTCCAGAGAGCTGTGAGCAACACCACAGCCATTGCTGAGGCCTGGGCCCGCCTAGATCACAAGTTTGATCTGATGTATGCCAAGTGTGCCTTTGTGCACTGGTATGTGGGTGAGGGCATGGAGGAGGGAGAGTTCTCTGAGGCCCGTGAGGACATGGCTGCCCTGGAGAAGGATTATGAGGAGGTTGGTGTGGATTCTGTGGAAGGTGAGGGTGAGGAAGAAGGAGAAGAATACTAAGTCCATTCCTCCAGCCCCCATATCATGTCAAACTCCAGTTCTAGCATTAGCCGCAGGCACTGATGCTTCTGTGCTGTTTCCAATCTGTGATCATGTCTTCTCCATGTGTGTACCTCTCAGTCTCCATGATGTCTCAAAGTAAAAGCTTCAAGAAAAGAAAAAAAAAGAAATCATTAATAGCCTTCATTTTCCATAATTAAACCATTATGTGTCTGTAAGAGCTGAAAACTTTATACGGTAAAAAACACTGCAGTTTATGACACACAATAATCTTGAATCTGAGGCAAGGGGTTATCAAGCTGTGCTCTTGGATGTTCTGTGGTTTGACTATGCAGGGAAACCCTCAACCTGTAGGTCACAATCCCCTTAGGGGTCACATATCAGATATCCTGCATATCAGATATTTGCATTATGGTTCATAACAGTAGCAAGATTACAGTTATGAAGTAGCAAGGAAATAACATTATGGCTGGGGGTCAGCACAGCATGAGGAACTGTATTGAAGGGTCACAGCATTAGGAAGGTTGAGAACCACTGGTGTAGAGCAAAGTGTACCTGAGTGTTCAGACAAAGACTGAAGAAAAGTCACGTGGTACAACATGGACGAACACTAACAATATGTCAAATTCATTGCTTGTTTGATTTCAAATTAATTTTTGGTCACTGCATACTCAGAAATCTGACCATTAGACATTTTTTCAAAACACCAATATTGAGTTATGGGACCCCATGTAGAAAGAGAAACCGCAGTTTAGAAAACTGTGGCCCCGGTGGACTCATAGGCACAGGATGAGCTGAAAAATAGCTTTTGACTCAGCAGCACCAACCCTGGGCAGCTGCCATGGAGACACTGGATTGAGATGTGCTGGTCCATTCCCATTCATCTCTGCCCTATCTTGCTTCTCTGTACTCTCGGCCATGCTCCTCTGTGTAAGATCAGAGAGAGCCACCAGGCCAAGAGCCTCTGTCTCAAGAGCAAAACAATACATTTCCAACCGCCCCCTTGCTAGACAAGAAGTCAATTCCCCGGAGGAAGCTCCTACTTTGTATCTCAGACCAACCCAACAGGAGAACTCTGGGAAGCCTCTCTGAACTTAGGTTCTCAAGGCATTCCATGTGAGGTCTTATTTAGCTAAGGATGCCTGCTTATGAACCAGAGTTTTAAGACAACACCTCACAGAGAAAAACATCACAACCAGTACCTTACAGCCAAAAATTGAATCTGATTCCTGCTCACAGTGGTTGTGCAAATATATAAACAGACAGACAAGCAAGCAAGTAATTCATCTGCCTGTATCTCAGCTTCTCCTGTATGAAGTGTTCGATCAAATACTGATTCCAACAGGAAAATTTGAACTCAATACAGCCTCCTGCCATTAAGTGTGTTTATAGCTCTGTTGATTGGGGTATACACTAATGACTACAGGAATTCAGAAGTAGCTTTCAAATATAATCCACCTGAGATTATACAGAGCAGCTGGGGCAACTTCCTGCTGCTCTGGAAAACAAAGGACCTATCTGAGTTAAACAAAGGACCTATCTGAGTTAAACAAAGGACCTATCTGAGTTTTGTCCATTAGGTGTCTTTGCCTATTACCACCACCATCCCAGGTCATCATCTCCCTGCCTCTTTCTGGTTCATGGGCTCTGTTCCCACAGCCCTGCTGGGATGTTGCCACACCAGGCGTCAGTTGAGAAATGAGTGGTTATTTGTGATGACAACTCAAACCACAGAGCTGTCAAGAAGTCCTGGCTGGAAGGGGCTCCAGGGAGTGGGCGGAAGCCCCGAAACCTCCTCCAATTTATGTCACATCAGAGGAGGGCAGAGAGGCTCCCACGTGAGTAAGATCCCTGCTATTCACACACCTACAGCCCTGTGGAGAGGACTCACTCC